GTAGGAAATAAACCAGACTTTTTCTTTCCTCCATAAATGCCCTCAAAAGGAGTAACCAAACCAACTGTAACCCCATTAAATACATTGATTAGAACTCAACCAAACCCTTATTGAGCATTAGATAAATTTCTCAAGTAGTAGCCCACCTTAGTTCATTCTCCTAATAAGCCTGTTGATCTGGTCTTCCCGGTTACCAGCATCTCCACCTTCTACAAAATGGGTGGTCTTTTTCTTCATGCCACCTCTTGGAGAAGATAATTTGAAGGGCCACAGGAAGTTGTTTGCTTCTTTGAAGCGCTTTCCAACAGTATAGATCTCATGAATCAGATCTTCCATGCAGATGATGCCATATTTACCTAAACATTTTAAGGTTATTCAAGATGATTAGAATTGTTTATTTTTTCAGGATTACTAAATTTTAACGCATTGAACAAACATAACTACAGGCTGCAACATACAGTTAAAAAGTCAAGAGTAGAAAGAAAAACGCAGGGCCATAAGACACCAGAAAATACCAACTCTGCCTAATATCAAACTTTTCCCCAAACAGGCACAACCTACCAAGAGATCGAGCAATCAATGTGTTATCTGTCAGGGCAATTCGTTTCTTGTTGATTTTGCCATAACCACGCTTGTAGATCAATTCATTTACTGACTTCAGGTTTGGGTACCTGAAATATGAAATGACATAAATGACCAAAGAATAAAGTTATTGCTGTCAAAACACCTAAAATTCACCTTGCTAACATAACCAACTTACCAAACAGAAATCAAAGACAGACTTACCCCCATGCAATATATGGTTCCACAATCCTCAGCATGTTAATCGAAGCCTTGTTGAGCTTAACAAAGGTGCCGTTGAAGATCTGGCGAAGGCGAAGAAGTTGCAGCACCTTTCGGACCTTTGGGCTTACACCATTGATACTACAGCAAAAAAAAGACCAAAAATTTCACTTGGCTTAAGATGACAGGAACCCATTATAATTTTGCACAACGCAAGTCCCACCTAAGTAAACAGGAATCCTTTCATGTTACAAAGACCACTGGTGTTTTTCCTTATTTAGCCAAATTTGTCTATCGCCTCTCCCAACTTGCCTCCTCCCCAAGTTAACTGTCTTTGGACTCATACCTGACATTTAAACTTCCCCTGACCCTTCTACCACTTCCTAGTTTTGTGCACATCTCTGTTACAACACTTATGAGGCTACATTTTAGCTACTTTTGAAGTTCATCACCAGGACCCTGAACTCAAGTCCAGTGCTCAATTAGAGAATGGATAGGGGCTTTGGGCGCAGGTCTCCTAACTAAACCATTAACTCCCCCTTTGTTCAAGCTACCCCCCAGATAATTTTACTCCAGAACCAAGGCCTCCAGAAGTACTGTTCAGTTTTGCTGGGATAGCATAATTTTCCCTTCAAAACCAGACTGCAGCAAAAAATGAACTTACCCTCTGATCCTGATGACAAACGCCAATTTGGGTTCCGCAGGTACATAGAAGTTGCCAGCTTTTCTCGCCATCCTAGCCATTCGAATCTCAGTTCTGTACATCTGCCTGTATTCCTTGTGATAGTGCTTAGCTTTTTCATAGATGAGCTTCCTCCTTGCCTTTCGAAGCTGAAAAACAATCAGTGAGTCGCCTGATTTTTAGCTCCCAAACACAATGAGCAATACCAGCTCCTGAGAAGACAAACTAATCTTCCCTTGAAATTTTGCATTAACATTCGGAAAAGCAGACGCCATCTTCACTTGAGATGCCACTCTGAGGCTCTCATAAACAAGCTCACCGGTAGAGCAGGTGAAGTGAAGGAATCTTGCTAAGAACATCCCTTCCGTTTCGACCCCCAAGCCTCTTCTTACATGGAAAGCGCCTCGAAAAAAAAGTTTACTTACCATCTTTTGGGCAAACTTCTTTCTCAGGCGCTTGATCTTCAGCTCTGCGAAATTCCTTCGCTTCTTCTTGAGGGTTTCTGGCACAGCAGGAACCTTCTTCTTCTTCTCTCTGGTGTTAACAAACGTCAACTGTTCAAAATGTTCACGGCCCCGCACTACTCCCATTCTTACTGAGCACACTGTCATTTAACAGCACTGTCACTGGCTTCAACGCTTTGTACCTTTACCTGCTTCAACCTGCTACGACACACGACACGACACGCAGGTGTATAGGGAATTTCTATGCTAACGATCACCTTTAACACGGAGATTCACGTCTAGTCCAGGCCCAGGCCCCGACTCGCACAATACAAACATCCGCAGCAAAGTTAACAAAATGAGACTGCTGCAAAACACTAAACCCTAGACTCTTAACGAAGGCTTAGGCTTCTCAACAAATAACCCTAGAAAACAAAATAGAATTCCCACTACCACCCTGGTTCAGGCCTCAAGCTCCACATGTGAAAGCAAAGGCCTGACGGCAGGGACGCCTAGACCGAGTACCAGACGGGGACAGACCCAATTCAGAGGTTCTGTGCCTCCCTCAATCTTCCTCAAAGGACAGTGGCTGGACAACCGGGCGATTTCGCACATATTCAGCTTCCACACTTCGCCTTGTTCCCGGTTAACTCCCAAACCTCCGCCCCAAGGCCGCCTGCATCCCCTGTTAGCCTGCAGCCACTGCCAGTGCCACAAAACGTCATAAACACACAGGTAGGTGGGCAAAGGTACAGGTTACAGTCGGACCGGGGGAGAGTGACAAAAAGGGTCTCTGGTTTCGGGGATGGAAGAGGATTCCAGAGAGGACCGAGAGCAACTTACTCTGCACCCTCCATGGTTCCAGCCGGAAAAGAGGAAGTTAGCGCATGCGCACTGTTCACTTAAAGTCGGCGCGTGAAGCCCCACGACTCATAGGTGTCCCGGAATAAGCCAGAAAAGAACTCAGAACTGAGAACTCGCCTTGCAGACACAAAATTAAGAAATGCCTGATTCAGCCTCTTAGGATCAAGTTTAGGATAAAACGTGTATGGGGGGGAAAGCATGCGTTGATTAAACTCGTTATTCAATATGAGAGCAAAGAGTGCTGACACCTTGAGTACTCGGGGTCCTAGTCCTCCGGCCGCGTTAACCCGGTACGACTCGCATTCCACCCAGTAATGTATGCAAATGACACGCCGCAGGGGTGCGAACTACAAATCCCAGCAGGCATTAGTTCCCCTGCCCGCCGGGCAGGAGGGCTACGCGTGGCAAGCGGTGGTCATTCCAGCCAGGGAAAATGAGACTCTTTTGGCCCACGATGCAAAGGGCTAGCTGAGATCCTGAGTCGCTCCCGAGACCCAGCTTTAACCGCCTTTTCGGCTCTCTGCCAACCCCAGTCACAGCCTCCGGCGCCCCGTTGCCGCGCTGCCGAGGTCCTTTCGTTCCTCCGGCCTGAAGAGCTGTCTTCCGCGGCGCCTGACTGCAGGCGGAGCAGTCCCGAGTTCCCCGGTTAACCAAAGCGGCGAGACAGGCACGGCGAGGCTCGGACGCCGGGAGGAGGATGGCCGGGGCACCGCCGACAGCCGGGCCCGGCAGGCGGAGGCCCGGACACCCCACGGCAGGGGGCGTGAGCCACGAAGGGAGGCGCGACGAGGGCTGGAGGCT